CGTTCAAGTACGAGGGCCATCAATCCTGCTGCTTTTGCCCATTCCACCCCCAGTCAAGAAGTGGAGATGAAATCCCATTCCCCAGGCCATTGGTGAGAGCTCAACACAGCTGGCTGGGGCATGGTGTGGTCTTGGCACCTTCCCCGGGGAGCTGCTCTGCTGCTGTGGAGCTGTTATCCTGTCCTTCCCTTGCAGGAGAGAGAGGCCAGTGCATCCTGTCCACGCCCCCCAAGATCCTCTTCTGTGACCTGCGGCTGGATCCTGGAGAATCAAAGTCCTGTAAGCTCCATGTTCGCTCTCATGGGAGGAGGTGGGGACAGGGAAAGGGGACTCTGCAGCCGGCGTCTGTGCAGCCATGAGACGTGCACAGTCTTTGCTTGGACTCTAGACCAGCTCTTGACTGGGTCATTCCTTGCTCAGTGCCGGAGCTGAACTGTGCAGGGGCAGACAGGCAGGCCGGCACACCGACATGCGGTTCCCTGCCTGTTTCTCACTGCAGTGTAGTGTTCATGGGCAGAGGCTCAGGCCTTCTGAGGTCCAGGGCCCCCTCTGCTCTGGACCATGGAGTATGCCTCTGCTCTGCTGTAGGTTAGTTCCCGTAGCTCTCCCCTGCTCCACAGGTAAGCAGGGTCCCTGTGCAATGAGGGCAAGCCCTTCCAATCCCCACTTCTGCCCCAGCTTTGTTCATCCTTTGCAGCCTCTGCACTGGTGCCTTGGCCCCTTCGTACGCTGCAGGGATTTTCCATGCCCCACTTTTTCCCTTCTGCTGGTGGAGCTCGTTGCTTCAGGTGCGGCCAGCCTCTCGTCCCCAGCACTTCCCTGCGACAAGTCTGCTGTTGTCTGGGTCTGCCAGGAGTTCAGGGCAGAATCGCTGCCATCCCAGTGCTCCATGAGGCCACAGTCCTGTGTTTGTGCTAGAAGTGGCTGGTTGTATGCCGACAGGGCTGCTAAGGTGTCGCAGGCCTCCCCAGGCAAAGGTTCTCTTGGGAGGTCGAGGCGGTTGCGCGAGTGTTGAGTTATTGGCTCCGGTTTTCACCGCCGGGAAGAGCTGTCCTGGGGAGAGTTAGACAGTGTCTCCTGGGAGCCAGCATGAAGCTGCTTTTCCCACAGAGCCACACTGCTTATGGCCTCCCGGACAGGGCTGGGCCAAGCCCTGGACAATGGGCCCTTGGGGCCTGTCCTGCCATGGCCCAGGGAGCAGCCAAGATGAGGCTACAGAAGAAATGTGGACAAGTTGGAGCGTCCGGTGGAAGACAGTGAAAATGGTTGGGGGCTGGGGGACATGACTGGTGAGGAGAGGCTGAGGGAACTGGGCTGATTTAGTCTGCAGAAGAGAAGACCGAGGGGGACTGAATAGCAGCCTTCAACTCCCTGCAGGAGGGTTGCAAAGAGGGTGGAGCTGGGCTGTTCTCCATGGGGGCAGATGACAGAACAAGAAGCAATGGGCTCAAGCTGCAGCAAGAGAAGTTGAGGTTAGTTATGAGAAAAAGCTCTCATGAGGAGGGTGGTGAAGCACTAGAACAGGCTCCCCAGGGACGTGGGGAATCGCCATCCTTGGAGGTTTTGAAGACCCAGATTGACAAAGCCTTGGCTGGGATGATTTAGGTGGGGCTGGTCCTGCTTGGAGCAGGGGATTGAACTAGATGTGACCTCTTGAGGTCTCTTCCAGCCCCCCTTGTCTATGATTCTGTGATTCTTTGTTTCATAGTTTCGTAGTGGTAGTGTCAGAAGGGACCTGAGCAGATCATCAAGTCCGACCCCCTGCCATGGGCAGGAAAGGATGCTGGGGTCAAATGACCCCAGCTAGGTGATTATCTAGTCTCCTTTGGAAGAGCCCCCCAGGGTAGGGGCGAGCACCACTTACTTCCCTTGGAAGTTGGTTCCAGATCCTAGCCGCCCTGACGGTGAAGTAGTGCTTCCTGATGTCTAGTCTAAACCTAATCTCAGTCAACTTGTGGCTGTTATTTCTAGTTACTCCCAGTAGTGCTTGGGGGAACAGGAACTCCCTCAATGCCTGCTGGTCTCCCTTGGCAAGTTTATAGATGGCCACC